TCTCTCTATCTATCTATCTATCTATCTATCTATCTATCTATCTATCTATCTATCTATCTATCTATCTAGCTATCTATCTAGCTATCTATCTAGCTATCTATCTATCTGCTCTTGCATTATATAATTCAGCCGTTTTGATGGAATTCCAGTGAAGGAAATCGATGTTTTATCTCCCACGACATATCTGTAAGTTGCTTGGACCAATGGGGCTAAATAAATATGTTCGGTAATTCCGTGACATATTTTGCACTCTCTCTCTTTTTATGTTCCTCAATTTGTAAAAGGGGTATCCAACGGGCACACGCTGCATTTATAAGGAATTCTAGACAGTGGCGTCAGGTGGGTTGAAAAGAAGGTGGGGCAAATGCTATCCCCCCAAAATGGGGTCGCTCAGATTATGAAAAATGCATAATACATGTAATTGGAAAGATAGTGAAGCACGCATATGAAACGACAACGTGAACATAATATAGCCTGAATGCATTATTAACGTTAGTGGCAATACTACGTTTAAAACACGATAAACAGACTCACCTATGCGTCTTTATACATGGAAATGATTTGGGCCCTTCTATTTTTCAATGTAATTTCATTCTTCCCGACTTAAGGAACACTTAATTTGATAGAGTTATAGTCGTAGTAAACGACAGTATACGCCCATCCAATCAGATCACTTTTCGATTCATGTCTATAAAATATCGTTTTGGGCTTCATTGTGTGACGCTTTTTTCAGCAAACGTTTTGTTCCTTCCTTAAAACTTTTGTAAACTCTTTTGTTTTGATTTTAGTAAGCAGAAGAAATGTTTTGTTGAAGAAGTCTAGGTGGGGTCGAAGCTGCAAGCCCCACCCCACCAGATGCCACTGAGAGTCTAGACATGTCAATGTCACTAAGTTCTTGTATAGATCTAGACGCAAGCGGATCTTGCGCTGTTTGGTGGTATAGATAACACGGACGCTTTTCCCGTTCACTGAGGAATTTGGGTGGCTAGAACATGGGTCATCATAAACAGTGTCTCTCCCTTCTCTAAATTCTCTTACCAAACTGTGTTAAATGAACAAGCAGATTTTCCACAAACATTCTGCAAATTTTCGTGAACTGGTTTTGACGATTCGTTAAGTTTGCTGGGCATAAAAATGTAAAATGGATATTTAATTCGTAATTCGTCTTGTATCCTCCAGGGCGCAAACCATCTTTTGTTTGTGACGTTTACTGAGAAAAGCGTCACACAACGAAGCCCCAAACGATATTTTACATAACTCGAAAAGCGATCTAATTGGATGGGTGTATACTATTATTTACTACGACTATAACTCTATCAAACAAAATAATCAATACTGACGTAGCATGGCATGAAACTCCTATGTTTTGGTTGGAGAGCAGACATCTAATAAATTAAATATATGTATTATTTTGTTTGACTGAAATCAATGTCTGAGCCGTTAACAGCAAATGTGAAAAGGATAGAAATCCAACGTTGAAAGAAATTTTTCAAACAGGTTTCCAGAAATGATTTCCTTTTCCTAAATGTAAACCAGCTTCAAAGCCTTCGGCTTTTTCATAACACTCGGATTTCCTTCACCTTTCCCCTTTTTAAAAGCGTTAAGTCAACTATTGTTTTAAATATTGATTCCACATGGATTTTTCATTACTTGTGAAGAATTTCTTTGTAATGGCGTACATCTTTCTTGTGCTACGGTTGATTGGAAGGCGTTACCGGAAAGGCCAGTGTTTGTGGCTTTGCGGTTAGAAGAAGATCTGAGTTCGATTCCACTGAGTGAAGACCTTTTGTCTGGTATCTCGGTCTACGAATATTTTTTTATATTTTTTTAAATCGCTGTTATCATTATAATTATATTAT